CACCTGTAGTTTTATGAAATGTTAATGCTGCTCCTGTGAATGTTGAAACTCTCCGAACCACCCGTTTTTACTGCGCCTCACACTATAGGTTTGTTCATCACCTATAGTGTTTGAAATGCTAATGCTGCTCTTAAGAATGTTAAACCTCTCCAAACACCGTTCTTTTTAACTGTGTGTCACACTATTATTTCTTCTAACTGGGTTTGATTGTAAACCAGGGGTTGCGGAGACTTCAAATGATGGTTCTAAGTGGGGCCACGTGAAAAAGGGTACTTGCTGTGTTTGTTGTGATAGTCACATCGATTCCCTGTTGTACAGGTAAAACTCATATTGCGGAATCTAATGAATCTTGCAAACAAATGTGCAGAATATGCAGGATTGAGTGTTTTGTTCTGGGATTTGACTTATGCCACCACTAACAATGTATCTTAACCTATTGTAGAATAGCCTTATCTTTTAAAGAATTGATCGTTTGTTTCCTGCATTGGCAGATGTGGGCACATGTGCACTTGTTCAAAATGTGCAAATGAACTGGTGAGAAGTGGAGGGAAGTGTCCGTTGTGCCGTGCACCCATCGTTGAGGTGATCCGAGCTTACTCGATACTGTAAAAAACGAAGCGATAGGAGGGTAAAGACAGAAGTTGGTAAGGTGTAAGAGGAGTTGTATGCTCCCTCTACCAAGCTTCTCAGATTCTTATCTGTAGAGTGTTTATTATTTACTTTTGCCTATGTTCTTCTAATTATATATATGAAATGCTACGCAATGTGTAATTGGAAAAACGAAAGGCACTTTTTTTGCATCATTCATTCGTAAATAAAAATGTTAATTCTTTTGCAATTTTCTTTTAATCTTTTTATTTTCCATATTTTTCTAGAACAAAAGAGTACCCACATTTGTTTATATTTTTGTTTAAATTACCCATTTGTGTCATTTCATGGGACGACATTTGATTGGACGCAGAGTAAAGATGTCAATTTAGTGTTGCGTTATATAGTGTAGAAATGACACCAGTAGCCACCTTAAAGGGCTCCTATTTAGGAATTAGCCGGTGTGTCTTGAATTTCAGTTTTTCAATTCCAAGTTTCAGGACAAAAATGTTCTGAATCGTTCTAAAGTTAAGATATTTAGTTTAAAATTTCAGGGCAAATAATTACTGGCTAATCTCTAAATAGCATCTCTGAGAGTGACTATTTACTAGGTTGTTCAATTGCATGTTTTTCTTGTCCTTTGTATTGAGAACCTAATATATAATGCATAAATTTGAAATTATTTTTTGTTAATTGGTAAAAAAAAATTAGTTCTGTTAATGTACTCGACTATACATCACGTTGTAATTTTGAAGAACTATGATTGGGTATACATCTTACCCAATGAGGGATATAATAATAAGTTCATTTTTGTTTTTGCGCAAATAAAACCTCTGTGCCCTTAAGTTGTGTAATTTTTGAAAAACCAAGATGTGACACCAAAACCAAGTGTTAGCTCTAATAAATAATAATAATTGATATGAAACGTATAACTTCTAGACTAAAAATTATTTTAAATTCATAAATATTACAACTTTTAATACTCCTATATAATGCAATCATGAATTTAATTTTTCTTAAATAAACCTTTTTTTTAAAGTAAGGCGCCTTACTATAAGTAAGACATTTTACTACAAGGGATCTTTTGGTAGGATGTATTAGATAAAATAATGCATACGTTAGTTTTGTATATTCATAATACATTGTTTGGTGCACTTTTTGAACCTATGCATTAGTTATATACCATATTTGGTATTATCCTATACATAACTGATGCTTAAGAAATTATGGTATTAACAATACAATGGGTTTTAATGCATGCATTAGCTTAGTTAAAGACAAATTTTTCCTTCAAAATTTATGTTTGATTAAAATATGCTATTATATTAATGCAAGTTTGAAATAATCCAAGAAAATGAGAAATAAATTATATCCCTAGTAAATATATAAATACTTAGCATATTTTCTTTTTTATAAATAAATATCCAGTTCTATATTGCAATATAGGTAGACAAATTAAATAATTTTTTAAAACCTTTTTCATATAAAAATATTTCTCGACATATATTTCTTTTAAAAAGATAAAGTGATTGATTGGTTATGAGGGTATTTTTGTAAACAAATAATTCTTTAAAATTGTGCAATGTTTTAATACATCAAACCAAATAATGAATGAGAAATATGTTAGCATAACCAACGTCAGCATAGTTAATGCAAGCATAACTGATACACCCTATTCAACATTATTCTTATACACCCTACCAAACGACCCTAAGAGTGTACTTCGGATATCTTTATCTAGATATTGCTAATACACACATTTATGTCACATCTTATCCTGTATAGAATAATATGTGAACTTCGGCTTACGCTAGAAATGAAAATGATAACAAATCTATTTTCTGTTAGTGCGTGGGAAACCAAAGCTATTTAAAAGACAAGTGTGAAATTGGAACTTGTTGAGGCCCTTGAGGGAGTTGGGTAGTCTAATCCCTGATAGTTTGTAGGCCCCAATGTTTCTATCCATTCCTGGGACAACACAAACTTTTTTTCTAAAAGATGTAAACTTAAGAATTTCTTGCGTGAAAGTAAAATTGAAGTATTGCTTTTTAGCGTCACGAAAGAGTGAAGAAACCCACATAAATCTTTACAAATGGCACTGCTTTTCCAACTATTTCCATTTCTTCTTTGTCCTAAAAGAATAAAACAATATACAAACAAATAGAAATTCACTCCAAAAGGAGAACGAAAACGACAAAACATAAAAAAGATAAACTAATCCATGGGGGGGTTGGGTTGGGGTGGGGGGTGTAAACTAGTCTTTTTGTGTGGAGTAATTGAACTATACAGAATCCCACACCGAAATATTAAGGAAGATTTAGTTGCTATATATATTGACGCTAAGCAAAAAAGGCTGTGTTCGTAGAAAGGAGAGACGGTTGGCATCTCCCCTGACAGGGACGGGAACACCCTTCGGGCTTTACCTGTTACCACACATCCGGTTAAGGCTTTCCGCTTCGGTGGATCTTACCCCATTTTTTTTTCTTTTTAACTTTTACAATATAGAAAAAATATTCAGGAAAAAAGAAGTCTACTCTCAAGCATTAACTCTCGAATAAATTTTTAAAAAAATGGACTTGAACAACGTCCATGTACATTTGCCTAATTTGCAGGATGCATCCGAATACAAACAACAGAAAAGAATTTTTCGTACTCTGCTAAGAGACACTCTCTGACTCCTCCACCAAAGAGATCACAAACTACCTATACAACTGCTGATCTTTCGGTGATTATCACGTTTTTTAAATTATGGTATACTCGGGGTCCGTTCAACGAAAATGACCCCCAATACTTTGGCGACAATTTATTTCTACCATTCTTGATTGAATCAGCTGTGTATGAACATCATGTACTGGAGAAAAGAGTCATATGTCAGCACCAGCTGACCAGAAAGAGGAAAGGTAAGATCCTCTAGTTGTCTTCTGATCATGCATGGCTTTCAAAGTCATCACGAGTTGCTCGCGTTGATCCTCCACTTCTGCATATTTTACGCTCATGTGCAGGTAGCGATCGCGAATTTCTTGTAGCTCAGCTTCAAGCTGACATATTTTGTGCACATTCTCGTCTCTTCCTTTGGATGACAAACTGAAGACACAAAAATATGTGAAATAATTTAGACTTCAATCTTAAGATGTAACTCTTGTAATTATAAATTGATCGTATATACTCTCAGTTGTCCTGAAGAAATGATAATTCAGAAAGGTGTTCCAGAATCCAAAAAATAGCCATCAGAAGAAACACAAACAAAGCTCAGGGTACAAACCAAAAGGTTTTTATATAGGCTCACCTAATTAGATGGGATTCATGGATACAATTGCTCTCTAAAGTCTGAACTACTGTATCCCCCGGAAATTGGATCGCTGATACACTTTTGGCGACTGTCTCTTGAAGATCTCTGTTGTAGTTGCTTTCTTTGTTGCCATCCTAAATAAATATGGGGAATATCATGAGGTTAATAAAGAGAAGAAATTATATTAACTACAATTTTCCAGAAAAGAAAGTAATTAATGGGGTAACTATTTACGCTGTGGCACAGTTTAGTTCTAGTAGCACATACTTGTTGAGAGTTGCCTTGAATCTTCTGCTTCAAGTATTTCTCTGGTTGAGGAGATTGTGTAGTTATTCCGAACTGCTTGCTGAAATCCTCTTCCTCTGCCTGTTTTTTGAGAAAAGAAAACAAAAATCAGATTCATTGCCTACTGTATTATTGACTTATAATTATAAATAAGAGAAGTGGCTCGGTTAACCTTTGAAAGCTTCAACTCTTCTAGAGCAGGAACATCATCCTCTCTTTGGTTCTCTAATTGTTTTCTCTTAAATTCTTTCTCGACGGATTTAACTTGCTTCAAGCAGTCCTCTTTCTCGAATTGAAGGGATTTTATTTTCCGCAGAAACTGGCTATTTACTCTTCTAAGCTGGCAAGCCTCATTTTTCAGCTCGGAAACCTTGGCACACATTACTTCTTTTGCAGTTAAGTCTCCTTCCAACCTCAGAACTTTCTCCTCTAGTGAAATTTTCTTGTATTTGCATTCTTCCGCTTCAGCCACTGCCATGTGCATGCAAGAGATCTCCTGAAGTAATGATGCCTTCTCTGCCTTCAACTCTTCACAATCTTCATATTTCAACTGCAGTGTAACTTGTAATCTCTCGCTTTCAAACTTCATTCTAGATAGTGCTCCTTTAAGATCCAAGACTTCCTCCTGAAGTAATGGTAATGAATGCAGTTGAATCTTTAGACTGGACTTCTCTTCAGTCATTTGCAGCATTTGACATTCAGAAGACAGTAGTTTTGACTCAAGCTCATTAATGGTGCATTTAAGCTTTGCTTCATTGGACGCAAGATGTTCCATCGTCCTCAGTAGCTTCTCACAGTTAGCTGCCAAAGTTCCCTCCTTGGCTTTGGAAGTACCAAGATCACTCATAAGATTTGACATCCGCATCATGAGGGACTGTACCTGTTCTTGCAACTTTTCAACTTCGATGGTATTCTCCAGAGATATTTCATGCAGTGTGCACTCTTCTACAATAAGTTTCTCTCTATGCTCTTTAGTCTGTAGGTGGAGATCATCAAGTTTAAACTTAAGGATCTTCTCTTTTGATTCAATTTCTTCCAGCACTGAAGAAAAGTTAGCTTCTAAAGACTCTATCCTTTTCAAACAGGTGGAGAAAGAATACTGAGATTTCCTCAGTTCTGCTTCCAAAACATTATGGCTCGTATGCAATTTTAACTTTTGTTGCCTTAGTTCTGCATTCAAGTTTTGAAGCAAACGACACTCTTCCATAAGGCTTTCTGTTGTCGCTTGGAGTTTTGGATTTACTTTCTTCAGATACTCGCACTCTTCTTGAGCATCTAACCATCGCTTTTGCATCTCCAGCAACTTTTCTTTCATATCGAGCTTTTGTGACTCCTTTTCGTGTTCTAATTCTCTGACCTTTTCCTGAAGGTTCACAACATGATTACCTGAATGCTGCAGTTCCAAGCGATTGAATTCCATTGCATCACTCAAATGCCTTAGTTGAGC